CCGTTAATTTATCAATGAATTTAAATTGTTATAATCATACTCTCCAGACTGGATGATCCACAGTGCTGTTGCCATATACAAGATCAACGTCATCCTGTCCCTCCACTGGCTCCCATTCTGATTCTCAAAGCTGTCCATGCTGTCGACTTCCTGCCCCTGTTCAAGTCCAAGCTCAAGACCTGTTTTCCTCTGCTGATGACAGCCTCTTTAAAAAACACATTCCTGCGGAGGGAGCTGGTAGGAACGTTGGGTTGCTCGGTCAATGGCCAGGGTCAACGGCGGCGTGGTGTATTCCGCAAATATGCCCAACTGAGGGCGGGCACAAGCCGGCGTGAGTAGGTTAAACGTTGAGTTTTATAAGGGCACCACGGGGTGACCAGCCCCTCCCCACCCAGCCCCACCCCTCCCACCCCCCACCCAGCCCCACCCTCCCCACCCAGCCCCTCCCCCACCCTCCCCACCTAGCACCACCCTCCCCACCTAGCCCCTCCCTCCCCACCCAGCCCCTCCCCACCCTCCCCTCTCCACCCAGCCCCACCCCTCCCATTTTTGGATGCACGACGGACACAATAATCCCCTGTGGGCTGGTGGAACCAGGAGGTTCATACCAGTATAACAATTCCCACTTTCTGTACAGCATCTTCAGATGTGGACATATTACGATGATATACATCCAAATTATGTTGTATGATAAATGCATAAAATTGTGCTGCCATTCCGTTACCAGTCGCATGTGTCCTGCCCAACATCAACTTAATGGCTTGTTGGGGCATGCATTAGAATTACCTTGTATTCTTTTGAGAGCATTGTGACCTGGAAAACTCCGTCTGCAGTAATCTTGAAGCATAAAACTGTATGATTAATGGAGAGAATAAAATCCCTCTTCCCCATAATTACCCTCATCTCCTGGAATAGAAACGTGACCACTATTGCATTGTCTGGGGTTATTTTCTCACCTCGCTGGGTTCAACTATGGCCCGATGTATTTCTTTCAGTTTTCTATTTAGTTCTACAAGGTTGGAGTTGCCATAAAAATTATTCGTGGTTCTGCTCCTACCATGCAATTCTTAGCAGCCCCCTCCTCGTTCACATTCCTAGCCGACGTCACGACCCTGAGTCGTGAATTTAGTGTATCTGTCAGGACGACTGTTAGACCAAATACTTCACCACGCTGGCCAAATCGGCATACGTACTCAAAAATGAGTGATACAACCAAATATAGTTTAATGCGGTAATAATTACAACATATCAGGATAAAAAATTTACCCGTAAAAACAAAGTTTTTCACTCTAAATCTTTTATATGCGTGGTGGCTAGAGTCCTCTCGTCCTCTGGCTTGAGATGGCTGCCACCTATGGGTCAGATGATTGTCTGCCAGCATTAAGCAATTGGTAATTAAATATTTAAAAAAAATTCCCTAAACAGTGCGAAAATTAATTGTCCCGCACAACGAGTCTGTGTGGAAATGTCAGCTCGATTGGATCACGGGAAGTGTGTTAAAAAACGACCGAAAGATATGCACAGTCGTAAGCAAGCAAGCAAGCACGCAAGCACGCAAGCAAGCAAGCGAACTTAATATAAAGGATTTAAAATTCACGACGTTTCGGAGGCAACAAGCTTCCGTCTTCAGGTGGAACCGTCACAGCACGTAGTATCTCTTGGAATCTCATTTACTTGATACAGCAAGCGTGCTGTGACGGTTCCACCTGAAGACGGAAGCTTGTGTTGCCTCCGAAACGTCATGATTTTTATTTTATTTTTTATTTTATTTAACTTTTATTAATTTTAAAAAATTTTACCTACGTGACTTTACCGAAAAAACCTAAGAATATGAATCCTCGCATTCACGAAAACTTCAAATCTAGAATATATGAGGAACCATCCTGTCAATGCTTAATTTTGTAATGGAAATTCTGCCCAGTCACAAAAGCATCTATGCACCACGTGGATACATTACAGTCGATGACACTTCGATGTGGCGTCAGCCATGTATTGTACCGGTCATATTTTAGTCATTTTGTCAATACACTGCGATGTAAATGCCTCACCATCCCCTGATGGTCATGGGGTGCGGGAGGGGTGGTGGTTATATGACCATACTTCACCACAAACTGGCCGGTGCGGATTGGTGAATGGAGTTGCCCAGCAACGGATGGCACCTGACTCGTGAGTTGATGTCAACCGTTGCCGAGAGTCTAAATCAGATGAACACTTCACGAAGCGGTGCTGCAACACCCACTGGAGGCAAACGTGTGTCTGAAGACGCTCGGGCTGCCAAGTAAACATTTACATTGCTGTGAGCGCTTCGGAGTGAGCACAATCTAAATAAATGTTTAATTATTTATTTACGAGAAGTGGTGCACTTTTTCTGCGATTTAAGTGGCCTCTGGACAAACGGAGGGCGAAGGAATGTGTCTCTCCCTCCCACTCGTTCTTTGGAAATCACTTCGGTTCTCGCCGTTGATATCGGCAGTTCTCGCTCCATCACCATGCACCCCTCGGGCAGGAGGTGGGGAGGGGGCAGGCTGCAGCATGGATACCGTGCAGAATAAATTACTAATACAGTGTTCGTTCAGTCGCCTCCCGAAGGCTCTTCTGGTGTGTCACTACACGTCTCGTCCGATGCTCGATCAGGATTGAGCCGCGTCTTGTGTTTTTGTGTTGTTTGCTGCTGTAACTTGCTGACCCGCCCATACTGGGCATCTTGCAAAAAGAGCTTCATAGCTCGTAGTAGGTTTTTACCCTTTAAACTGGTACAAAACTGACACCTTTATACAAGGCATCATGTTTGCAATAACCACAACACAAGCAGTCAAAATGCAAACAAAAAGAAACAACTCTGGTAATGGTAATGATTGCACTGTCCTTGAAGTTGATTGGTCCACACCCTTCAAGGACAGTGCATATCATTACCATTATCAGAGTTGTTTTTTTGTTTGCATTTTGACTGCTTGTGTTGTGGTTATTGCAAACATGATGCCTTGTATAAAGGTGTCAGTTTTGCACCAGTTTAAAGGGTAAAAACCTACTACTATATTTTGCCACTGGTAAAGGAGGTCTCATAGTGTAATAGCTTCATAGCTCGTCGGATTCCTCCAGTCTAAAGGAAGATTCTGATTTTCAGAGGGATATCCCGACACTTAAGAGTTCATGTTCGTCAGCCGGTGCTGATGTTGGACGTTATACAATGCAGTATTTACCGGGGGCCACCGACACAGAGAAACTTGGCTGATATGAAGCCCTGCACATTAGATATGTTGTCTCTACACTGGATATTCCCTCCTATTATATGACGCTTTGCAGCGTGCCAGATGAATGTATGTACTCATAATAATAATCTACACTACTACTGACAGGATGAAGACCTTCCTGTGCCGTGTCAATCATGGGAGGGAGGAAGGGCGGTGGTTGTTTTTTTTAACCATACTTCACCACGCTGGTCAGTGCGGGTTGGTGTTGAAGTTTCAGATTTCACTCGGCCCTGAGTGCGATCCGTGATCGCGAATAGAATTCAGGTCGCTGGGTTCTAACCACTAACCACTACGTCACCGCCACAAAGTCTAAAAATAAGTCTAATCGTACGATATACGACTACATATTAGATTGTGTTTCTCAACACTGGGTTCGATGCTCCCTAAAGCGCTCCGCACGGAAATGTCGGAGCAGCGTGCATCTGTCGACTGTTTTGCTTTGATGTATTTGCAGCATGCGCTCTCGCTGCGCATAAGTTAAATTTTCCCTGAGAAGATAACACCACGGCAGGCTTTGTGGTATTTGTACGATGATGTGCCGTCTATAAACGACACAGTTATATAACATTTGCACAGTGGCATCGAGCGGTTTGCAAGTGAAATGGGACCACAATTCCGATTCCGTCCCCTCTGCGTGGCCTCCTGGCTCCTTGCCTGCAATGCCACCGACCGGCAGCGTGCGAGTCCCCTGCGCAGTTGCATCGCCTGCACACCCGATAGCCAACGCCACCACCTGCAGCAATGCACCGTACACACACGCACACACACCACCAAGTGATGGACTGCGCTACGGAGGAGACAAGTGTCACGTACAACGTTGAATTTTGCCGGTTACCGCCGTGCGCTAAAACTGTGTTTACAGTCGAAGAGAAGTTCCATTCAGAGATATTTTAACGCGCTTAACTTTGGTTGTTGTTGTTAAATATACAACTCTTGAGTAGTTTATAATCACTGCAGGATTTTAACAAACGAAAAGGTTTTTTATTTCTGCGTTGGCAGTGACGAATAAGAAAAAAATAACAACGAAAAAACCTCAACACATTCATTCATAGCAGTCATAAAAGGTGACAAAATTAATCTATAAACACATAACAGACGACGTTTCGGCGCAATGCCCCTTCGAACCTCTGCTACGACGAAAGGACCATTACCCGAAGCATTGCCTACCCTACACCTTCTTGGTTCTTTCGGTAAAGTCACGTAGAATGGAAATAATAAAATAATAAAAATAAAACATAATAAAATAATTCTCACGACGTTTCGGCCACAACACAAGCAGCCGTCCTCAGGTGAAGACCAGGTCTGTCGGGGAGACAGCGTCTGAGGACGGCTGCTTGCGTTGTGGCCGAAACGTCGTGATAATTATTTGATTATGTTTTATTTTTATTATTTTATTATTTCCATTCTACGTGACTTTACCGAAAGAACCAAGAAGATGAATCACGAAAGCTTTAAATTGAAATTTACCCTACACCTCCATCGCGTTGTGGCGTATTGCTGTGAGCACACACACAACGCCATCATCGGTGTCGGCAGGACGCACCGACAGCGGCAGTCGCGCTCCCACGTCGCGAGCGTCGAGGTCTCAAAGGTCGCGCGCCGCGCGCGCCACGTGCGCCGCGTGGCCGAGAGCGGCGCGCGCTCCGTTCGCTACGCGGCGCGCCCTTTGCTCCTTGGTGTGCGGGCGGGGGGGATGGAGGTGGAGGCGTCGAGGGGGTGGGTGGGTGGGCAGCAATCGAAGTAGGTAACCACATCTTGGGAGTCACGACGCAGGGTTGCGGGGTGGGAGGTTGTAAAATCTCGCGCGTAAAACACCCCTCCCCTTGACGCGAGTGCGCAATCGGTGCCTCACTTTGGCTGCTTGTTGATCAACAAACTCGCGCGCGCGCTCTCCAGCAGCACCGAATCGTCCCTGCGTCTTCTTTCCCAAAAAATTCGCTTCATTCAACCGCATATATCCCGCACACCACCACCACCACCCTCTCAATCAAAGATTTAAACGCGTCGCGCGCATCACAACGATGGCGACCGATTCGGCGCGAGAGAACGGCGTCGAGAACGCCGCGTTCGCCAAGGAGGAGGAGGTGGAGGAGGAGGATCAGGGGGGAGAGAAGGAGCGGGCGGGCAAGGCGTCCCCGGCATCATCCTCGAGGTCTTCGGCGAGCTTGGGCAAGAGGAGCATCGTCGACGGAGGCAGCGCGGGGTCACCGTGCGACGGCACCGACGCGCACAAGTCGGCGGCGGTCGGGGCGGTTGCTGCGGGGTCGTCGTCGTATCCCGGCGACGACGATGGCAACTCGACGTCCGGGGGACACGAGGAGGGGAAGTTCGACAATCTGAACACGATGGAGATGGGCGACGAGGTTCCGCGCAAGAAAGGCCCCTACGCGGGCATGCCCAAGGAGGTGCTGCTGCAGTACTCGAACAAGAAGCGCTACCGCGTCACCCGGGAGGTCATCTTCTGGCTCATCGTGGTAGCCACGGTGGTGCTCGTGGCGGCCACCGTGGCGGTGATCGCGCTGTCTCCGCGCTGTCTCGACTGGTGGCAGGCGAGCCCCGTCTACCAGATCTACCCGCGATCCTTCCGCGACGCCGACGGGGACGGGGTTGGTGACCTCAAAGGTGAGAGGGTGGCAGGGACGAGCGGGCGAGGAGACGTTGTGGCAGCCCCCCCCCCCCCCCCATAGCGTCGCGGGTTATGGAGGCGCTGAGCCCAGCACCCCCCCCCCTCCTCACCTTCTAAATCCCTGATCCGGGTCCACACCTTAATCGTCGATGTGGATGCAGCAAGTAAACGTTGCGCCAACCTTACAATGTGTGTGTGTGTCTGTGGAACCGTTCGATCAACGTTGGCCCAAAGTTCCATGTTTCACTTGGAAGGTTGCTTCCAATGGATGGCAGACCCGGCTTACTTTAAATAAAGCATCGATCTGCTCAGCGATTTGTAGCAACGCGTTTCATCACGTGCACGTGCTGGACATTTGCGAACCTTGATTGGTCGTTGCAATCCCCGACCACGCCGTTTCGTGTCCTCTCTGGCGCGCAACTGATGGCTGAGAAGTTGGCAAAGCAATTGCAGGCAATGACTGAAGAAGTTGCGCGTCTTCGTGAGCGTTTTGGCCTCTGCAACGGATCGCTCAGGTGACGACCTGCCTGCGCTTTATAGTTTAGCGTGACAATGAAAGTGGCCCTAAACACGAGGGATCGTTGGCCTGCCGGGTGTAGGAGTGAGACGGTGCGAGGCCCGTCAATGCCAGTTACCGAGGAAAGTGTTGCCGCACTGGGATGTTTGGTCAATTCCATGTATTCGCGTTTGCCTTTGTTTTGAACCCGGAGAAAACCCACCACGCATACGAGGCTGTGGGTGACACTCACCACTGCCATCTCATAGTCACACCTCAATAGGGCCCCATCCTACAACTCCTGGCAGGTGCCGGTGGTCACCGATCCAAACACTGTAACCCAAACTAGATTCTATAACCCAACTCAACCCGGCTTTTGAGATTTTGCGTATTCAGGGCGATTTCACGGCAGCGCCCGTGCTCGCCCCGTTACACAATTAGGTTATGTTTGTGCTGCGTATGACCATACCGAGGCCGGAGTCTCAACAGTACGAGGGTGCGTTACAGATAAGAATCTCAGCGATGCACATCGATATTGTTGGAGCAGTGGCGACCTGAGTATTGTATTCCTCGCCACGGCTTGCATCAGTGGCGAGTGTCGCAGAATGTTTCTCAGCATTGTCCCGCTGCCCGTTCCACATGATCGGTCAAACAACCCTCCATGATTGACACGGCGTAGGGAGGCTATCATCCAGCAGTGAAATGAAAAAGACAGTATCTCTAAGTCACAACGATGAAGTCCGGCATGCCTTAAAAGTGTGACAATCGTTGACCGATTTAAACAAATTAGCTGGCATTTTATCGATTTAAAGCTTTCGTGACTGCAGGGATTCATATTCTTGGTTCTTTTGGTAAAGTCACGTAGAAGGGAAATAATAAAATAATGACAATAAAACAATCAAATATTTTTTTTAGAAAAGAATGTTTTCTTTTAATTATTTTATTATTTCCCTTCTACGCGACTTTACCGAAAGAACCAAGAATTAGCTGGCATTGTTGAAAACACTTTATCAAGTAGCACAGGAGTTCGACAAAAAAAGTAAATATATCTCAAATTAACTTTGCACCTGTAACACAATCTCAACGACCACGAGCAGTGCGTGTGCAATGAGGGGCACGGGACTTGTGCAGTGCGGGATAGAGAAATCTTCTAGAGCCCTGGCAACACGAGACCCGCGGCCTCACTGGCGTGTGATCAAACCTGGGACTGCTTCGCCTCGACACAAAATAAAGTTGGCCCTCTCTTGGCCTCATAATTTCCACTGTGATTGTGCGATGCAGCGCAGAAATGATTCTCGGGGTCGACGGTAAAGTTCAGCCGCAATTTGTATTTTATTTTACTCGAACGTTTGCTCATGCTTATAATTAAGAACATTGCTCTGTAATTGACGGTGACAGCGTAACGTATTTCAGGACTTATTTTGAATTCACGAATTTGATTGGAAAAATCACAAATGTACTCTTCACACTCAACGGATATTTTTTTCCCCTTACCTCCCACCAGAGTTATGTATTATAGGCCGCACGATGTACAAATGTACATATTTAAACTAAATGGATTGTTATTAGTATTATTGTATTCTGGTGTGGGTTTGTGTTTCTATGAAACACAGAGGAGAAGTATTGTGGAATCTGGACAGATTATACGATAGATAAACTATGTTCATAACACTCACAGTCAGAAATGTACTCATGAAAACACAGGATGGGTGTTTAATTACGTTGGAAATACAAGTGTGGCCACACGAGACATGTGCCTATTTCTTTCCACCTTAACACATTCGTTTCCCCAAACTATAGAGTATTGCAATCATGTGTGTTTTTATGCTTTTTATCACGTGTGTTTTTATACTTTTTATCACGTGTGTTTTTATACTTTTTATCACGTGTGTTTTTATGCTTTTTATCACGTGTGTTTTTATACTTTTTATCATGTGTGTTTTTATACTTTTTGTCACGTGTGTTTTTATGCTTTTTGTCACGTGTGTTTTTGTACTTTTTATCATGTGTGTTTTTATACTTTTTGTCACGTGTGTTTTTATACTTTTTATCACGTGTGTTTTTATACTTTTTATCACGTGTGTTTTTATGCTTTACAAAGTAAGGCTGAACATATTTATGCACTAGCTCTGTTCGTCCATAATGGGGAGGCAATATAATGTAACACTTGTTAACACAAGCCAATATTAACTGAACTTGAACATTAAGTTGTGTCAATACTAGGAGACTTACCCTTTTGAAAACCGGCCAAAATTATCAAAGCGTTTCCCAAATTTTGCAGACACAAACCCAAAGCGAATCGAATGATAGCTTTTGCAAATCTGCAAATGCATTTTGCTTTGGCGGCGAATTACTCATTAACTTTCATCATCCTCTAGGAAGTGTTACACAACCAATGAGTATGCTTGATTCTTCTTACTTACATACATTACCTTCAGAGATAGGCTACTCTCGGCTTAGCATTGGTCAGGTGTGTACTTACACGATGAGTTTAGAAATATGTCTTAGATTTTCACCACTGTTGTCCTTTGTTCTAGGAGTCAGGCGTTTCATGTTTTGCCACAGTGGTCAATAATTACAAACTCCGATAATCCAGTTTATTTGAGATAGAGAGAAAAAAACACCCCTGCAATAAGTAGCTTATAGAAGGCGTTTGCACTGTTTCAATTATGTCTGGAATGTTGCAAAAGTCCTTCGTGACCAGGCAGTTGTGATAAGGAAGTCAAATGGGTTTACTCTCCAACGAGGTCCCTGAGGTCTACGGATCGTCTTCTTCCGAGGACTTCGAGGCGAAGGCTCTGTTCCTGGGCTGATTGGGTTTTTGCCACTGTGCAGCTCCCAGACTATGGAACGTTTTGCCTTTGGTAACAAGACAATCAGAATTGTTCGAGCTATTTAAGTATGTCTTAAAAACTCCCCTCTTTGAATTGGTCGTTTACCCCCTAGTTCGGGCAGTTTACCCTGGTTCTGTTAATTTCCTGATTTCCATCCACGGCACGTTGGGGGTCTGTGGATGAAATATTGCTTTATAAATGTAAGTTATTATATTTTCTGTAGAATCCTACTCAAGGTAATGAACGATTAAATTAACTGCCCTGTGAACTTGCTGACACCCTAGTAATTCCCAACTTTGCAAACAGGGCTAAACTTCAACCTGCCATCAAAAACACGTACACATTAACTTGAGTGGTAGGGTAATAATTAGGTGTGGCTGGTTAGCCAATAGTTCATAGCGTTCCATGCAATGTACTTTCATAATCACTATCTATTATACTGCTTCGAGATAAGTTACTAAATATATAGATAGATGCAGGTGGAGTAGGGGTTAGCACACTGTGCTTTGAACCCGGTGACCTGAGTTCGATTTCAGGCTATGTTTAACATCATTGGTAAGTGATATCTGAACACTAATCAACCTGCATTGATTAAAAAAACTCCATAATTCAACAGTAACACTGCCTTAAAATAAAAATATATAATGGTGACGTTTCAGGCAATGGCCCTTCATAGCACAAAATAGGCGAAATATCACTTATTATATATTTTTCTTTTGGCCACAGTGTTACGGACAAATGTGTTGGTTTGTTGTGCTTGTGAACCACTGCCGACAAAGAACCACCAAAGAATCAGAATCTTAATCAAGAATCAGAATCTGTATTTATCCTGGATAAATGCAATGAGCTATTAAGCTCCTCTTACAGATGTCCAGTCGGGGGTGGGTTAGCAAGTTACAACAAACAATAAATAACATAAAGTACATCAGTACAAATTACAAAAGTGCATACATTCCTGTCGATCAGTATGGTGAAGTACTACACTGATCAGGATGGTGAAGTATGGTCAAACAACCGCCATAACCGACACTGGGGACCTTCATACAGCTGTGGATTGACAGGTGGTTGCCCATTTCTAATATAATTATATTTTTCTTTTAAATACTCCGCTTAGCCTGCTTTCTAAGCTGCTTCTGGAGGAATGTGGACACACAAGGCCCCATTGTGGGGTGTTTGTTGCTCGCATGGGTTGGATGTGGTGTGTCGTTACTCAGTGAAAAATCTTTGCATCAGTTCGGATCTGCATGCTTGTACGTTAGAATATGCATGTTATATGTAGAACCTCCTGAATAATGCAGGGAAGAAACTCAAAAACATACAACTGAAATACATGGCAGGTATAAATTGTTCGATTAAAGATTTTATTTCGCATTAATTAACCAGATGAGAATCCATGAAAATATTTTTAATTGCAATTGGGGCCTCGGTGCCTGCGATATATAGCGTGTTGTATTGTTATTTGTACGACGTATTTTTTGCTTTAGTTTCAAGGGATTTTACATTTATACTTTTGAGTTTTGGAACGAGCAATAATGGATATTTTTTTTTACAAGCTTAGTAATTTGCTCGGAATACTGGCGTGTTTTTGAGAATATTAACCACCCAGGCCTATTAAGTTTTATACAAAACTGGTAGTGGTTCCTCTATTAATTATCAACACAAAGCCAAGGAGCCATGGCAATCCCAAGATTGCTTTTTGCCAGGCTTCCACGACTTTAGTCTGCTATTTTTGTACATTTGTGGTGCGTGTTCAATAAAAATAAACAAGACACTGGAGTTGATCTCAGTGAGAAAATGCTCCTGGTGGTGCAGTAGCATCTCTCCTCTGCGTCGATTCCATGATGTCAGGGCCGTTTCAGAGGGTGTCCTTTTCTGGTGCCGTACTCTCTCCAGAGGGCTTGCAACTAATTATTAACTACTAGCTCGTTTGCCCATCCTCGGCGTGAAGCTGTAATATTTAAGAATTTTTTTAGCAGAGTATAATTGTCTCTTGTGTAAATTTAATGGCAGCGAATCTTGCACGAAAGTATGTCATCAAACACTTCACTGCATTTCACTGTAGCACTGTATTAATGGCAGTGAATCTGGCACAAAACGAAGTCATGAAACACCTCACTTCATGTCACTGTAGCACTGTATATAAATTTGTTCAAATCCACTGCTCTGATACTTTATTCTCTTCTGCTTTCGGTCGTTGGGGTTGAAATAAATTTGAATTCGATACAATATCTGTAAAATCACCGAGAAATGTCTATTTTACCATAATGTAGAAGCATAAATTAGACTTACCTTTTTGTCTCAAGTGCTGAATAAATAAATAAAGACACCAAATCCACTTTGTGGCTGCGTGGCATTATTGATTAGATTCACTTTCAATAAAAAAAAGTCAAACTTAGAATTTGCGAAAAATGTATTTCCGCCCAACCTTCTTTTGCGTGAGTGTAAAAATCCACCCGCTCATGAATATTAATGATGGGGGGGGGGGGGGTGGCATGTGGAGTGACGTCACGCACGTTACACACACATAGACATACTTGGCTAATTATAGTAGTAATCACATTTTTACCAAATAAGGCCCACTTAGCTATGTAGCTCTTTTTCATAAGCGACCTGGCCACAAACGATAGCTCAACGAAGTGGCTTTTTACGTGGACAATTACATTATACAAATCCTCTAAATGTATGCTTCTAAATGTGGAGGGGAAAAAACGGAGGACCTGGAAAAAATTCCAAGCGACCATAGTGAGAGAGACATGACAACTCCAAATATACAGCAGAGGCGTCGGGCATGGGATCAAACCCATGACCTCCTGCATACCAGGCGAGGTAGTTACCATCTCGCCGCCGTGACAACGCGAACGTGGCGTTCGTTTGTCCAAGTGCAGCGCGAATGAAACCTCCCGTTGCTTTGCGCTGTGACTGCAGGCATCAAGGAGAAGCTGGAACACCTCAAGTATCTGAACATCAAAGCCGTGCTGATCAGCTCCTTCTACGCGTCTCCTCAAGTCGAGCAGGGGCAGGACGTGAGCGATTTTTTGGGTGTGGATCCTCTGCTGGGCAGCATGAATGACATAGATGAGCTGATTACTGCCATTCATGACCAAGGTGAGGAGCCACACACCATTGGTGTCTTACACGCACCAGCGTGCGCATCGCTCTACGCGACCTGTCATCATCCGTTTATTCCGTGTCTGTGTGGAGTGTATGCCATTGAATCAAATCACCTGGAATAGGTCCGGATCTCGTCACCTCTCAGAAACTGAGCAGGGTGGAGCCTGGACGGCGCTTGGATGTGCGACCACCACCATGCACAACACAGGTGTTATAGGTGGCTACGAGGTTCGCAGCAGAGGGGAGCTCAGAAAAATCCATTGTTGTACTGAACTTCTATGTTCCCACGTCCTTGCTCCCCCAAACCTTCACCAATCCGCATTGACGAGCGTGGTGAGATCCTCGTCATAATGACCCCCATGGTCCGTCGTGGCATGTGCAGGTCCTAATCCAGCAGTGGATTGACAAAAGGGCTGTACATATATATGCATGTATCTGTGTATATACGTTTAGTGTGTATGTAATGTAACTCGCGTGCATTTGTAACATAACACAAGCGTGTATGTGCCGATACTTTTCGTGAACTCAGAAATGAAGCTGATCTTGGACTACATCCCCAACCATACAAGTGACCAGCACGGCTGGTTCAACAAGAGCAGGAACAGGGAGGGCACGTACGCCGACTACTACATATGGAGAAACTGCACCAAAGGCACTCCCCCAAACAACTGGGTGAGCGAGCGATGTTGGGCTCTTTCTTCTGAGCACTGCGCGTGACACATGCTGAGTAGGAGTGGAATGATGCACTCCGGTAATGTGATGAATTGCCGAGATTCAGGGTCCTGATCCAAAAATATCTAGTTACTTTTATTTTTTATCATTTAAGTGTTATGACTAAGGGCCATTTACCAAAACGGTGACTATTATATTTAGTTTTCTTTTAATGCCACGGTGTTATTGACCGATTTGTTGAGTTTTTAGTGCTAATGACAGTGAGGACGGATAATTCAAAATCGCGGATAATCCAAAAATATTCATTTTCCGCGGATCTCTATGCCAGAAACCACTAATATGGGTATACTAACGATCGACCGACAACCCAGTCGATGCGCGTGCTCAGTGGTAACACTTTCCTGCTCCCACGCAGGAAAGCGTTGTCAATCCACCCACTAAATAGACGAGCCACGCCAATAAAAATCTAACTCCGCTCACTGTTGTAAAGATATGCAACTACTGTACTGTAGAGGCGAACGCGTGGGTTTCGGATTAACCGGAGCACATATTTGTTCGGTTTAAGCGTGTGACTTGTAATAAACATTTCCAAGAGTTATTAATCTATGCCAAAATCTCAGGTGCGCGGTTAAATCCGCAAATTGGATAAACCACACGCGGATAATCGAGAGTCGACTGCAGTGTGTATTATTGTTGTGAGTATTGGTAGCGCCCCTAGTGGCTGCAGAGGTGGGGGACGTGAATCAATTTCGAGCAACGGAAATTGGAGTACGTGCTGAAAAAAAAGCTGTTAACCCACGAAATCGAATTTCCCATAAAGTTGTTGAGGATAGGCAGGTTAAGTGGACAAAAAATACATTATTCAGATCAATGTGTCACCATTTGAGTTGAGATATGACAAATATCAACATCGGATTTTAAATTCTTCCATTACAGCAGACATACATGATCCAAAATTAACGTGGGTTATCATGTTTTTTTTTCCTGACAACCTCCATACGCGAATTGAAAGACGTTGATTCTCACGCGCAAATGGTGTGTTGCATGCATCGTGAGTTTAAGAATCAAGATTAATCGGTGATTCATCGCATTTGTTCCACTCCTAAGTTTGCACGTTTTACAATTATGAAAAAAAATGCTTATCAAACAGCCCAGGCAACAAACACAGGATAGGCCTCAACCACTAGCTGAGGCACGAACCAATCATTATAAAGTCTGTGTCTGTTGAAGCAAATTATCTCTCTAGAGTGATACAGCTAAGTAGAAAGCTATGAAAAGTTTCATCTTTTAAGGATTTGTTTTGTCTTCAGCTTGACACCTAATCTTGTTTTATCCGCCATCTTTGACTCATCGGCCACATTGTAGAAACCATCTGCTCCAGCCATAGCTTGTTAATATGTCCCATGTCCCTTCATAGTTCAGTCACAGTTCTGACCTTGTCTCTTTGAAGCCTGTGCTCAATGTGCCAAAGCAAGCCTCTGGCTACACGCTGACAATGATGGCGATGACAATCTAGTTCTTTTCTCTGGCAGGTGAGTGTGTTTGGCGGACCGGCGTGGACGTTTGACGACGTGAGAAACCAATGCTACTTCCACCAATTTTTGCCGCAAGAGCCAGACCTCAACCTTCGTAACGCTGATGTGCAGAAAGATCTGGAGGTGAGTTGGAACAGCTTCAAGGAGCTCGCTATCGTGGCCGGCAAGAAAGCGGCGCGTTCTTAAGAAGTGAGGCTCAGAGCTTCCACAGCCACGGGTTGGGCTGCTGCTGTACAAGGCTTAAACCAGTGCTTCCCATCCATTTGATTTTCACATATCCCCTACCAGCTCTAACAACTGTTTTCAAGCCACAATCAATGTATATGCAGTCAAAATAATGTATTTCTCATATGAACATTGAGGCAGTGCTCATCTCGTGTTCATAGTCCCGAGTGATTGGGGAGGGGGGGAAGTCCACAATCCTATGACAAGGGCGAGTCTATCCAGAGGACAACCAGCTGTTGACTTCCCCAATAAGTGGTGCAACTGTCTGATTCCAATATGGTCGTTCTCCCACTGAGACACCTGGCCGGTACCAATCGACTAGTCCCATCAACACAGATGAGTACCATCAAGACAGACTAATACCATCAACACAGACTAGTCCCATTAGAACAGCAGGCTTATGATGCAGTCGTTCTCAATTCCTCTCCATTTTGTCTTGCAGGAAGTCTTAAGGTTCTGGCTGAAGAAAGGCGTTGATGGCTTCATTGTGGATAACGTGAAGTGGTTGCTGGAGGCTGATCACCTAAGAAATGAGGTTCAAGTCAACTTGACCCAGGACCCGGTGAGAATTTGAGTAACAATGCATAAATGTGTATTTTTAAACGCTCAGTAAATGTAAATATTGATATTATAATCTCACGGCACACCCAGCATGGGGGGTATAATCGAGGTGGATGCCCTCACATTTTACCTTTTTTAAATTTCCCCTCAATTCCGTTACAACTGTGGTGCCTCTCAGCGAGTTCTGCAGGGTGATCCATTCATAGATAGCCACAATTAAATAACTGACTTAAGCGATGCAATCCGCCCGTACACACCGTCATGAATTCTAAGCTCTGCATGTCTTACCACCAATCTCAAAACACGAATTCAACCTCTGAACCCTCTCCTCTGTGAGTTATGTAGCCGTCGCTTTCACAATATTTAATCGTGTAACAGGGTGATTATAAATCGGTGCGGTATCGACCATTGATTCCTGTCCACGGCTAGCATGAATGGGCGAGGGACATCTGAACAGGTTCTGGATCCCAGCCCACACCCTCCACTGACCAACACAGTGAAATACCCCTGTGCCCGACATGATCATCATCCAGTTATTATCGCTGTTGCATGTATGTATGTTGAACTTCCATCGCACCATACACAGCCAACCACGCTAATGGTGGGTGTTGTTAAGCAGTGGCAGCTGACGAGGTTGTTTGTGCCGCTCGCAACGGTGAGCAGGGCACCATCCAGCACTATGAAGAGCTGCACCACGACTTCACGACCACGCAGCCCGGCCTGCACGACATGGTGCGCAACTGGCGTGCGATCCTCGACGAGTACAGCAACGAGCCGGGGAAGTACAGGTGAGCGTGCGCGTGCGTGCGTCGGTGAGCACGCGCACGCGCGCGCACGTGCGTGCGTGTGCGGGGAGCGGTGGTGTAGCGGTTAGCGCGCTGCGCTACGCACCTAGCGATCCGAATTCGATTCCCGCTCAAGGCCATCATCAGTGAAGGTTATCTGAACCGGTCCTGGGCCTCCCCGAGGTCGACTCAGCTTCAAATGAGTACCTAGTGCGGTGTGTAAACATCGCCACTAGGGAGACAAAGGCGGCCGGGCTTGGGCACTGGCTCACCGCGTGGCTGTCTTCCTGCTTGCCTGTGGTTCCTCGTGCCTCTGAGTCGTTCTGTCTCTTTCGTAGAGAGTGAGCGAAAACCGTGCGGCATGTCACAAGTTCACATCATCAATATGTCTTCTTGGTTCTTTCGGTGAAGTCACGTAGAATGGAAATAATAAAATAATAAAAATAAAACAGCAGCCGTCCTCAGGTGAAGAACAGACCTGTTCTTCACCTGAGGACGGCTGCTTGCGTTGTGGCCAAAACGTCGTGAGAATTATTTTATTATGTTTTATTTTTATTATTTTATTATTTCCATTCTATGTGACTTTACCGAAAGAACCAAGAAGATCATCATCATTATGATTATTCTTTTATTCGACTCCAGTGAAAGCACCGTGCTCTCGGCTCACAGTCTTCTTCCCGACTCGACTCCGACAGGTTCCTGGCCACAAAGTCCTTCGACGAGGGAGAGGTTGAGAAGACGCTGAGCTACTATGGTTCAAATCTGCAGGACGAGGCGGACTTCCCTTTGAACTTCCAGCTCGTGAGCCTCCCGCACAGCGCGTCCAGCAGCAGGGCACGCAACCTGATCGAGACATGGATGAAAGGCATGATCCCAAGCAAGTGGCCCAACTGGATGGTGAGTTGAACGTTTCGAAACAGGATGGGTCCTTGCCTGCGAACATCGGACTTTTCACCGGCAATGGTTCAAGTGAGCCTGATTCTGCTGATGAGACATTGTATGTCGACACCGGGGTTTGCTTTCATTAAAGCATCACGCACGCTTTCAGATGCACTTCTGCGGCCGTCTGGAATGCTCTTCCTTTCGATATTAGGAAGTTACTGGAGCTATGCACTTTTAAATCATTTAGATTGACAACTCATTTTGTTGGAACTGCTTTGTTGTCCTTCCCCCGCACCTCCGATTAGCCCGGTTGGCTGCGTACGGTGCAAAAGAAGTTCAACGTACACACACAAATATGATCTTTCCAGGAAGCCACGCGGCTGATGTGATGTGTAAATGATTTTTTAATTATTAAATCCACAGAGACAAATATGGGAGAGAGGAATGACGTCCGCTTAGACTATTTCCTTGCTCATTTTCTCCACGACGGCGCTAAACGATTACTGCGTGCGATGGGTGGCGAGTGGCTCTGTTGTGTTGAGGCCTGTAAAGACGCCAAGGTCGCCTTCCTCTAGCCATGAGCGGCAGTATCTGAATTACATGTGATGGAAACAATGTCATTTCATTACATTCGTAACGTCGCTGATATAAAAATCAACACAACTCAAAGTATTTGGCAATTTGTAAGTAAATTACATGAGGCAGGGCTCATTGGTAATATCTATCTACAGTACATTACTCCATTTATTGGTAATTTTTATTTATTTCAACTGTCTCTGCCAATAGCCTCATAGTGTTGGGGGGTTAGAGGGGGCCGACCCCCCCCCTACCTCCACCTGTTAAGCGAGGGCAGTAGTCGGCAAGCTAAATAACAAGAAGAGCCAAACTCTTTGTGTTTTTTTCGGTAAATCCACGTAGGTAAAAAATAAAATAAATTAAAATGAATTTTTTTTTTAAAATCACGACATTTCGGAAGCAACACAAGACACCGTCATCATCAGGTGTTGACTGCTGCAACAAAATGACTGCAGCGTATTTCGTCGGAGCAGTCAACACCTGATGACGGTTGCTTGTGTTGCTTCCGAAACGTCGTGATTTAATTTATTTGTTTTAATTTAATTTAATTTTTTACCTACGTGACTTTACCGAAACAACCAAAGAGTATGGATCCTTGCAGTCAAATCTAGAAAGAAGAGCCATTTTTTTTTTATTCGGTAAAAAAAAAAACTACTCAGTATTTCAAGAGCCGCAATGCATGTGGTGGAAACGAGACGGTGGTCCTCAATAAGTAACGTCACGAAGGGGTCCTTAAGGAGCCGCATGTTGCCGACCCCTGAGCTGGCCATGCATTCGCCACGAATCATATCTCTGTCTTTCTGTTGGTGTTTGCTGCAGGTAGGAAACCAGGACATAGGCCGTATCGCGTCACGTTTGGAACCAAAGTACGCGCGGGCCTTCACCATGCTGCTGCTGACTCTGCCGGGCACGCCCGTCACCTACTACGGCGAGGAGATCGGAATGACCAACGTCGTCGTGAACGACATACAAGACCCCTATGGCAAAAAATACCCGGTGGGTTCGCATGCCTTGCTTCAGCAAACGTGTTCGTCATCGTGCTCATGATGAGCGAGCGATGCGTGTTAATGAGGTGTAAAGTACGGGCAGAGGTGGCACACACCTTGTTAATTCAGTACTTCGGATGCAAGGGTCGGTGGATCACAGAGATTTGTGAAACTGCCAAACCCTGTTGGTGTGCAAGGTGGCCCGGAGCTGGCAGTAGAGCAAGTGTATCGACTGTATTTGTGCTTCGTGAGACCTCCTTTGCCGGTACCAAAATAAAACAATAGGGGTTTTTTCCCCTTTTTTCTGGCAACAAAACTGAAACCTTTTTACAAGGAATCATGTCTGCATTAATCACAATACTTGTGGTCAGAATGCAAACAAAAAAATACTCTGATAGTATTTGCATTGTTCTTGAAACTGATTGGTCCACACCAGAGACAGCTTTATTTTGTTTGCATTCTGACCACAAGTATTGTGGTTAATGCAGACGTGATTTCTTGTAAAAAGGTTGCAGTTTTGTTTGCCAGAAAAAAGGGGAAAAAAACCTATTCTTGTATTTGTGTTGTGCTTTTAAATGAGTTATCTTCTCGTATGCGTGGGGTTTTTTTCCCGAGTACTCCGGTTTCCTCCCAGATGCCACTTGTTTATGGCAAAGGCCAAAAAAAGCATCATGCATTTCACCCCTTTGTGAAATGCATGACATTCCACAATGTGTGCTTTCCCAACAACACGAGGCCATCCTGGGTAAATGGACATCAGACTTTCCCAATATGTATTCTTAACGTGTGACTAATGCTGCAGTATTCCTGCACAATTAAATAGTTTATTGTTTATTCTCTCATTGTTGAGGACCCACTTTTCCTGTCATCACATGCAAATATTTCTAATGGTTCTCCGACGTGATTTCTGGCTGCACTGAGTAGTTGTTCGACACGATGCTCGAGGTTTTGCCACATGTGCTGAATTCAGTTCCTGAACTCAGAGTCCCTGAATTCAGCTCCTGAATAAGTTCGCAGCACATGGAGTGAAACGTCGGACATCGTGCCAATCGACACGCGGTACTACCCTGAAAGCAGATCGGACAGCCGTACGGCACGAACCGCGAAAAACCTACGCGGCATGAATATGCGAAATGTATAGCGTTTCATCTTCTTGGTTTTTTCGGTAAAGTCACGTAGAAGGGAAGTAATAAAATAATACAAATAAAACATAATAAAATAATTCTCACGACGTTTCGGCCACAACACAAGCAGCCGTCCGTTGTGGCCGAAACGTCGTGAGAATTATTTTATTATGTTTTATTTTTATTATTTTATTACTTCCCTTCTACGTGACTTTACAGAAAGAACCAAGAAGATGAATCCCTGCAGTCACGAAAGCTTTAAATCGAAATGTATAGCGTTTGTGCGTGGACTTTAGGATTCAGAGTGGGGTCACGCAAAGGACGATGGGTCACGGCCGTAGAAATAATTGTAGAGGGATGCTGGCGAGGAAGGCGGGAAAAGGGGGATAAAGGATTGGGGGGGAAACTCAGAGAGATCCCTATTGGTGGGAAGAGGAGAGGGGAAATAAGGGGAGGAGAGACGAAGCCAAGGGGCTCGAGGACAATAAATATATAATGAGCGTATGTTGTTTGTTTGCATTCTGACCACAAGCATTGTGGTTAATGCAGACATGATTCCTCGTAAGAGGTTTCAGTTTGGTGTTTTAACATCTTAACACCTGTTTTGTTGCCAGAAAAAAAGGGGAAAAACCTATTATCAAGAGGGTAGTCGTCAACAACAGTGTCCATGCCCTGCTGCAAGTGCTCATGTTGGTGTGGATGCAACAATCAAGTTTTTTTTTGTATTTTCAGCCAACACCTGTTTAGGTCGAGGTATACCGATTGCTCTCTTGCACAGGTCGACGTTTGTCAATTTTTTTTGTAGCCCCGCCCACCACCCCTACGTTCCGTTCCCTGGTTATCACATTCAGATAAGTCCCTCCCCCCTTAACTTGTATTTAAGGGCTGGTCTCTTGGAATTTTGCCTCACTTGATGCAGTAAATTCAGCTGTGACGGTCCCACCTGATGACGGAGACTTGTGTTGCCTCCGAAACGTCGTGATTTATTATTTTATTTCTATTATTACTTTTATTATCTTCTTGGTTCTTTCGATAAAGTCACGTAGAAGGGAAATAATGAAATAATAAAAATAAAAAATAAAATATTTATTATGTTTTATTTTTGTTATTTTATTATTAACATAATAAAATATTTATAATGTTTAAAGTTTATTATTTTATTATTTACCTTCTACGTGACTTTACCGGAAGAACCAAGAAGATGAATCCCTGCAGTCACGAAAGCTTTAAATCGAAATCTACTTCCATTATTTTATTATTTATTTTTACCTACGTGACTTTACCGAAAAAACCCTAACAGTATGACTCCTTGCAGTCACGAAAGCTTCAAACCTAGAAACAATCAAGTTTCCCTTACCGGGATGCCTCGTGTGGTTGCACCCCTTCGCCTTGTACTCTGTGTCAGGCGAGGAACCGGGATCCCCAGCGCTCGCCGATGCACTGGGACAACTCCACAAGCGCGGGGTTCAGCAACAGCTCGACCACGTGGCTGCCCGTGAACACGAACTTCACCAGCAATGTGCAGGCGAGTCGCGCACCTTCCGTCCTGGGCGCGTCACGCGATGGGTTTCATCGCCAGCCGGCAAACGACGCTCTCTAAATGCCCTTTTGTCGTCGTGTTGTTCGTAGACTTCACGCGTAGGCACCCTTCTCGTTTCTCCACGAGCTGCGGGAAGGGTCAGTGTATTCGGGGTGTGCCGGAGGAACTTGATAACCCACAATTGTTCCATTGTCCAGAAAGTTCGGCCTAATTTGTCTCTCGATATTGTCAGGAATTCTGCTAGGCCGGCTTTGGTGTAGGGATTAGCGGCGTAAGACGATGCCACTATGGTATAAGTGCAAGAAAATAGTCCTATGTTACCGTACACTACATTCCTATAATCCTATACTCGCAAATTGGCATCGGGACAAAATAACAAGACGAAACCGATGCTGCGGCGTGCCAAAATAATTCTCGGGAATGGCGTTTCGTACTGTGCCACCTGAGATGACGGGAGTTGGCCACGTCATGGGCACAGACAAGTGAACGTGCTGAGCCCGTGCTTCCATCCACAGGTGCAGAAGAGCGACGAGGCCTCCATGCTGAGGCTGTACCAGACGCTGAGCCAGATGCGCTCCTCCGAGCTGCCCCTGCACCGCGGCTGGGCCTGCTTCCTGTCGAGCGCCGCGGCGGACGTGCTGACATTCTCGCGCGAGATGGACGGCGTGCGGACAACCTACGTCGTGGCCATCAACCTGGGCGCCACGGACCGGACGGTGGACCTGCAGCAGATGCTCACTGGGCGGCCCAAGGAGGGCTACGTGAGCGTCAGCACCGACGCGGCGCGGCCCAGGGAGAAGGTGAGCCTGGCCGAAGTGCGCGTGAAGTCGGGCGAGGGGCTGCTGCTTTGGTACGACACGGAGACGCCCGTGCACCTGGACGAGGAGAAGAAAGGCAGTTGCTACATCTCGCAGCGCGCGTGCTACCTGCAGCCTCTTGACATCCTCTACAAGTGCTGAGCCCCACAGAGCAGCGGCGCTTCGAATATCTTTCGATTTTAGCGTAGTCGATGGTGGCGGTCGTAAATAGCCAGCGATGTATCCGTTAAAAACAAACAAATTCACTGCGTGTGCCTTCGTAGATTCACTAATGGGTGGGGGCCTCACCAAAAAGTGTCGGTAACGTCATGGGGGTTTTGTTTGATGACACTTCACCACGATGGTCTGTGTGGATTGGTGAAGTGGCACCGCTGATAGTAGCCGTGACTGGGAATCAAACTCAGGTCGCCAGATTCACACTGCAGTATGATAACTCCTGCGAAAACTGCTTCTGCGACCTACACATTGCATGTTGAAAAATTGCACCCGGCTGTGGTTTTGGTAAAAATGTAAAGACCGGCTGAGGTTTGGTGCAGAGAGGTTCTCAAATAGTAATCCTAATATATCTATCATAGCTCATCTCACATTTACTATGCACATGAGGTTTAGCAATCATCAGATGTCTATGCCGTGCTTTGTTGAATTTTATATTTATCTGCAGGACATGAGTAAACAGTGAAATATGAACTGTGTTGATGTTTGCCATGGGGGCACTTGAATTTGAGAACCTCTGACATACAGCGTGATAATAAGAATGCTGAATAGAAGGTAACATTGGATCCCATCTCTCAACATTAAATCTCTAACAACCTTGCAATATTCACGCTATCACTCATTCTGTGTTGTAGTCCGTCTCTATGAATTAATGCAGATTTTTCAACCGCGGAACGTGCCATGTAAGTGGGGCATTCGCCATTCGGAGTCATTGGGTGCACACACGAGTCCTCATCTCTGCTGGTGGTAAATCATGATCTGTTCGCAGGCCAACTACTGGTGGTGTCTTCCCATGAAGTGGTACAATTGTTTTTGTCACTGGAGGAATGATTTATTGGCTGAGTCTTCCCCAATTGGGATAGAAAATTCAGGTTTTGGACCACTGCCACAGCATCTCTGGGCGCTGTCAGTCACTTTGAAACGAATTCTCATTCTTAGTTGTTCGGATTATTGTTAAAAAAGGCTAGAGAGACTCATACAAATATTCTGGTAGATAATTCTCATTGACGCCTTGGACAAACACTGATAACTTGTGAAAGGTTGATAATTTATCTTTTCTTTTCTCCTGTGATAAACAGGATGAAATCTGTCAATTTATTTTCTAATTAACAAATGGGTTTTAATTCCCCACTTATGCATATTCACATTAACTTCTCTGCTGCTTCAATGTTTTTTTTTGGTTTATTTCCTAATTGCAAATTAACAAAGCCAATTAAAAGTTTGATGGGGGGGGGGGGGGGAATCGCTGCCTTCAAGTTTTCTGTACAAGTTTACGACGTTGTGATTAATGCCATCGATTCACTCGTGCCCATCATTAAGAGCAGATGTTTGGCAATCAAGCAGTGCCGTGTGTAGCAGTGTTCGCTGTGCATCTGTGCAGTGCACTTGTGTGTTGATTACTGATTATAAATAAACAATTCGTGGAGCCTTGCAAAGCGTGGTTGTGGTTGTTTTTAAAAATCATTATTATCATTATTGTTTTGCCGTAATTTTAATCATGTATTGGTTGATTGCAGGGTTCCAGCACGCGCTTGGCATATCCGTGATTCTTGACAGTCAAGAGTTTTTAGAAGCGACGCGCCACCATCAGTGCAGCGATTTAATAAAAAATGTCAACTTGGAAGACTGCGCTACACCCAGTATTCGCTCTCTCTCTCGTAGGGAGAGGACGACTCAGAGGCGCGAGAAGGAAGGGATGAACCGGCGCCAACAATTGGCTAAGCTCTGAGGTCCTTTACATATTCAGGCGTTATCGTCAAATTCATTACTTTTACACCCGGAGAAAATCCACGCACGTGAGGGTGAAACGCTCTATCCCATTGCAAGGCCCGCGAGCCACTCTCGGCCCCTGGGTATCCTTTAGTGCGGGCCCCCCGATGTGCGGCCCTAGACAAGACACAACAGATGTGACCCCCCCCCCCCCTTGCAGGTGGTGTGGCGGCCCTCACACTAATGCCTTAGCGGCGAAAGCGGCCCCCCTCTGGAAATGAGTGAAGAACACTGCCCTATCCCATACAGGCAGAGCGGGTTGCGTCCACTGTTTTTTTGCTGTACCGAATTCTCCTGGCGAGCCAGGCTACGACTCCTCCTCGACGCCCACGGGAAGGGAGTTTTCGTGACATTTGTGTGATCCACCAAGCCCCGACTCCACGGTGTTGGATCACAGGCCACGCGCATAACCAGCACAACTGCCCGGCTAATTAACGCGTTGTCAGTCCTCGGCAAGCACCCTTGGGTTTAATCTGTGATATTTAAAGTGGCGAGCGTTAATGCAATTGCATTTGGAAACGACAACTTGCGATTCCGAGCATTTTCGTTACACTTTTGTGATACCGTGCTGATGCCTACATATTCAATCACCGATAATTATCGGACAATCCATCACTGGGTTACTTAGGTGACAGTTATATTTAGCGTGGATGATATTTGGTTATGGTAGTCATGTTTATTGGAGTAAGATTGGTTTGAGAATTCATCTCACGGCTGAGCATGGCTCACGTCCAGTATACATTGAGCTCTTATTTATCGGAGTATACGAATCGTTTGCAAACTTAGACTTAATACATCGAAAGCACAGCATCTCCTTTGGAAAATCACCCCGCTAATAAACAGCACAATTATTACTTTATATGTTCGAAAACATGTTTTAGGAAAATGCTAATGAGCATTATTGTGGCATTTATTTGTTCGCGACAATGGGAATACAATTACTCCCAACTCCGATTTAAAGCTTTCGTGACTGCAGGGATTCATTTTCTTGGTTCTTTCGGTAAAGTCACGTAGAATGGAAATAATAAAATAATAAAAATAAAACATAATAAAATACAATTCTCACGACGTTTCGGCCACAACGCAAGCAGCCGTCCTCAGGTGGAGAACAGGTCTGTCGAGAAGACAGAGTCTGAAATGTCGTGAGAATTATTTTATTATGTTTTATTTTTATTATTTATTATTTCCATTCTACGTGACTTTACCGAAAAAACCAAGAAGATACTCCCAACTCGCAATGGGAAACCCGTGCCGAGCCCAGCACAAGCACAAGCAGTGTGAACGTGGGGGGGGGGGGGGGACCACGAACAGCGCCACCTGGAGGCGCAGCTCTGAAGGGACATTGCCTGGCCCTGGACTCTTCACTCCACGGGACGAACGGAAGAGGGCGTCCCGAACACAGCGGCGCAACTCGGCAGCAGCTGAGCTCGTTGAGCATGCGGAGGAGATGCGATTCCCACAGGCAGTGCGAGTCGGTGAACGATATACATGCGTAAGGGCAACTGATGAGTCCTCATCACGACGAAGCCGGTCCACGGTTGTGTCTCTGCATCACTGCCGCCTGCCAGTTGGTCGCATTTGCGCACATTATATTTTGATGGTGACCAAAGAACTGAGGACCAACAATGCAGTTCTTTCAGGAACTGTTGATGGTTTTTATATATGATGCAAAAAAAAAAACTCGAAGTGCTTCTCGGTCGCGTTTCTGTCGCTTGGAACGTACGGTTTGCCGGGCCGCACTTTGTTTCTGCAATGATGGACATGAGGCAGACGTATTCTTAGGTTTTTTCGGTAAAGTCACGTAGGTAAAATTTTTAAATTTAAATTAATAAAAGTAAAATAAAAATAAAATAAAAAATAAAAATCACGACGTTTCGGAGGCAACACAAGCTTCCGTCTTCAGGTGGAACCGTCACAGCACGATAGCTGTATCAAGTAAGAGAAATTTCAAGAAAACAGTCCTTGTATATATACTCGTTGAGGGTGGGAGGAGCCAAGGCAGGCACCTGGATGTTATTTTTGTGAGGACTCTCACTTGATACAGCAATCGTGCTGTGACGGTTCCACCTGAAGACGGAAGCTTGTGTTGCCTCCGAAACGTCGTGATTTTTATTTTTATTTTACTTTTATTAATTTAATTTAAATTTTTTACCTACGTGACTTTACCGAAAAAACCTAAATATATGAATCCTTGCAGTCACGAAAGCTTCAAATCTAGAATGAGGCAGACGGACTGTGATGGCAGTGACGCTGTCATGTGGGTGTGCAGGTAGTGCAACTGCACCCTCGTCTACGTTACCATGGCGGGGGCCCGGTTGTCCGCCGACCTCTGAGGAGTGCAGGAGTTGGACAGGAGGGCCCAGTGTTGCCATCTTAGCGACCGTGTCGCTAATTCGAGCGACTTATATTTTTGGGTTCGTTTGTGACAACATTTTGTCTTCAAGATCCCCAAGGACGAGAGCATTTTATTCAGAATCATGCATCCGGTGTACGATGTTAAATACTCAGTGAATTGTCCACTAAATATTTGCGAACTTTGCGTCTACGCACATAGCAACATGTCTATACAGATATCTCGAGATTCGTTTGGCGTTGTTTCGCTTTTAGGAGTTGGCAACCATTCAGGGGGGCAGGTTTAATTGCTTGCACCAGGGCCTATGTCCCAACCCTTCCCCAGTGGGCACTGGCAGTGATGGTCAAAAGCTGAGATCACAATTTGTCGACGCCACTGCTTTGTAAGCACCTTTTGTCAGTTCACTGCTGGATAAAGGCCTCCCCCCCATGACGTGCGGGTCATATGGGGTTGTCTGGCCATACTTCGCCATGCTGTTCCGTACGGGTATAATTGGGAGAGAAGGGGTAACCCAGTACCGGTGTAGTTCAGTTACCGCTCATGGCCACTTATGGTATTAGACGTGGCCGGATTATAAAGTGAACTCCATTGCGCCACCGATCTAACAAAACACACTGCTTTACTGTGCTGTATATAACATACCAACGTTTCGGGCGAGAGTCCTTCTACAGAGCACAAAGAGGGCAGAGACATTGACCGACTGACTTGCACTCTCCAGAGTGGTGACCTAAGAACACTTTGACATTGGGGTCAATCAACGGTTTTGAACTGACATGGCATTTTGAAATAGGTAGTTTAACGAGTGAATCATAAAACAAACGTATAAACCAATTCATATTACTATTAAACGTATCAACTTGTTATTTGGACCTGTATCATAAAAATTGCAACACTAATACAGATCCAATGATTAAGCCTAATTAGTCGTATAACGGATAATGCCAACGACTATTGCTCTTCAAAACAAAAATCAGAATCTGTATTTATACTGGAGGAATCCGATGAGCTTTGAAGCGCTTTTTCACAGATGAAAACATGATAGAGAAGTGCAACGTAGAGAAAATGGTAAGCGAGGCACTCAATCTAAATAACGAATAAAAATTTAATTATATAAGTCCGATTTTAGAAAGCTTGGGCAAGGCAGCAAAAACCTGTACAGTCCTGTATATCAAACCTTGCGTGTAAGAGATGGTTTAGGATCCAACCGGATCCAACCGGATGCCATGGGTCGACTGACTGAGATGACCGGTAGATGCACCAGCTGTATCCCCTACTGTGCCAGGCTAGGTGCAGGAGGTCTCGGGACAGACCCAGCAGGCGCCATGGGTCGGCTGACTGAGATGACCGGTAGATGCACCAGCTGTATCCCCTACTGTGCCAGGCTAGGTGCAGGAGGTCTCGGGACAGACCCAGCAGGCGCCATGGGTCGGCTGACTGAGATGACCGGTAGATGCATCAGCTGTACCCCCTACTGTGCCAGGCTAGGTGCAGGAGGTCTCGGGACAGACCCAGCAGGTGCCATGGGTCGGCTGACTGAGATGACCGGTAAATGCACCAGCTGTATCCCCTACTGTGCCAGGCTAGGTGCAGGAGGTCTCGGGACAGACCCAGCAGGTGTCATGGGTCGACTGACTGAGATGACCGGTAGATGCACCAGCTGTACCCCCTACGGTGCCAGGCTAGGTGCAGGAGGTCACGGGACAGACCCAGCAGGTGGCATGGGTCGACTGACTGAGATGACTGGCCAATGCACCACCTGTGCCCCCTACGGTGCCAACGTGCTGCGTTTTATCCGCCCGGTGCTGCGCTCGTTTTGCTTTGAGCAGCGTCGCTCCTCTGCCCTCCGCCGTGGCTGGAGGGGCGACTGCCTCCAACTGCCCCAGTAGCAGCAGCAGCAGCTTCCTTCACGAGTATTCCGCATTCACAACACTCGTCGAATTATTTTTTCCAAATGCACAGTTGCGGAACTCTCTAAAAAAAGAGTCTTGAGACTCACCGAGGATTTCCTGACAAATTACTTGAATTATTGTTTTGTTGCCCGTACTCTGCAGAGCTAATAGTAACAACACATTGCTGGAACAAAAACAACCCTAAAATTTGTTTACAGCTTGTTAGCTTGCTAGCGGTAATTATAACCGGTGCAAGTGAATTTTACCCAGTTGTGCGATTGTTCACAACTACCAACGTAATCACCGTCTTAAACATTTTATATTTCACAGCGCATTTTAGCGATGGGATTTCGTCGACTATGCTTCACCACGTTGGTCGATCGCCGGTTCAGATCTCACTCGCCATCGAAGCAATGCG